CTCTGTGCATCTTGCCCCTTCCCAAGGAAAACTTACAAGGACAGAGCTGACCCTGTGAACTGTTGCACTCTTGTTTACCCTCATCAACAGCAGCTCAGCCCCAGCTCTATGCCCCATACCCACATCCTCAGGACCCGGCCTCTGATATCACTGGAGAGCTGGTGTTTGGGTAGAAGCCCTGACAAATGGATCACCAGCTTTGGTGCACTGTCAGTTCAGGCTGGAGAGGCCAAGACTGGTACCCATCAGAGGTCTTGATAAAACAGCTGCTTGGTGTTTGCTTCCAAGAGTGAAATGTGTTGACCTGGGAGAGCATTAAGTACGATTGATTTGTTGTTTTATACAGCTTTTATTTTCCAGTCATTTTCTGCCATTAAAATTAGGGTTTTTGCTCTGAAGTTCCAAGGTAGCAGCCTTGCTCTAAGCCTGCTCTGCTCTCTTTTCTCCCCACCTCCATGCAGGAGCAGAATACCAGACCACATTAACAACCAGAGTCTTTTATGGAGTCGTTTTTAAGCCAGTTAAAAATGCCATTTCAGTAGATTGCCCTATTTGAGTTAGCAGGAACAAGCTGTATCTTTTTTATTGCTTTTGACTGGCCAAGTACAAGGTTTAGGCCATGTTTCGTGTTGACTATAAAGTTATATTAATAGCCTGGTTAGTGGTCAGATGTTCTATATGTGTAACTAATGTGTAAATAGGAAAGATGTCTGAGGTAGAGAGGTCATTATGTCTCTTTTTTTTTACTTCTTTATTACATTTCTGAGTTACTAAATCTTGTATGCAAATTCCCATTCTCTATAAAGAAGTGAGAAGGGCTCTTGGTAGTGGTGGTGGTTTGTGTTTTGTTGTGTTTTTTTTTTTTTTTTTTTTTTCTTCAGAACATCCTGAAAGCAGAAATTTACATCCTTGCCTTCAGGGAATGTAGGAGACAATTTTCTTTGATTATCTGTGACGGAAGTAAGATAAGGTAGCATAGTGATTATATTCACCCCTATGTTGATGGCTCTTAATTTCATTCCCAGCATAGTCCCCTGATTGTGAAGGGACTAGTAGCATGAGGGAACAGGTGAATTGAATCAGATCCTAAGCTCCACTTATCTTCATTGATCCAAGAAGCACGTGATTGTCCTCCTGGGAACTGCTGTGGCTCCTTATGAGCAGAGAGGGAAGAACACAGGTGTTTGAGGCAAGTGAGGAAACTTGCAACAGGCTGAAGTCTCTCTTAGCAACTGCTTTTGCCCCTTTACAGCTTATATGTTCTGTGTAGTCTAGGGATGAATGGAAGCTAAAAATGAAAATGCTTGGAGAAATCTGAAGAGACTTACTTATGTAAGAGGGCCAGTACAAAGCCATTGCATCATGCTGAACTTAAATTCTATTTTCAGTGAGACTTGAAGCAAAAAATAAAGAGCCAGAATTTCTCACAGTGGGGAACCAGATTTCTGAGCAGCATAAATTGTCCAAAGGAAAATATGAGATGAATATTACCCATAATGATTACTTAGCAGGATGTCTTCTGTCAGCTTGGGTTCGAAGGTTGTCCTTTGACAAGAACTACCTGACTTCTGTGATGATTTGCTCCACAGTGGAAGGATGCATTCACAGAATCATAGAATCACAGAATTGTTTGAGTTGGGAGGGACCCTTAAAGGTCTTCTAGTTCAACTCCACTGCAATGAAAAGGGACACCTACAGCTAGATCAGGTTGCTTGGAGCCCCGTTCAACCTGACCTTGAATGTTCTATAATATGAAGACATGATTTTCAGAACCTCTTATTGCTACTTTTCTATTTGTGTACTGTACAGTTTTCTGGGGAAAATTACTAACTATTTGCAGAGAAAACAGATCACAAACTGCAGACTGTCCAAATTAAAATCAACAGCAATTAGATGCCATTTACCTCTTATTAGATGCTGTTTACCTCTTTTAAAATTATTATCTAAAGTTCCTGGATATCAGAGAAGTAAATATATTGGAAAGGACAGAAGACTGATTTGAAATACTGAAACACCTTTGACATTTTCTATTATGCTAACAAGGTATACCAGGGAGACAAGGATAAGGATTAGAGCTATGACTTCTAGAAATTAGTTGATTGGTTGTTGTGTGGAAAACAAATGTGTTCTTTCATCTGGTCCCTGCCCATGCCTCCATTAGATTTTACTGAGCAAATCTGTATTTGCTTAATGTATCCATTGGTAGATCTTCCATGAGTCCAGCCAGTAAAGTCAATTGATCTTGTAGGATGCTGAACATTGGTATCAAAAGTCAATGCATACTTTCTCCTAGTAGCTTTGCATTTACTTTAAAACTCCCTGCAGTTGGAAATAAGGCCTGGTGGTATCTTTACAGGGTTGGTGTTCCCAGACATTAATGCAGTGACTGAAACTACTGAAAGTCACTGTCCTGCTCCCCAGCAGCCCGTAGCTCCTAAATCAGCCTTTTGTTATCAGTATAATGGGGTTGAATACATTTTTAAAAGGTGGTAGCTATTGATTACTTAATGGAAAAAGTTAGTATAGAGAAGTGCTGAAGCAGCCCTATTTCGTACTCTCCAGTGCAACGAGACCATTATCTAGAAGAGTGGAAATCATCCTGTAACCCTTATTAATATTTAATAGGGATGAAGCAACGCTGAAGTATACTACAAAATAGCCCCAGGCTTCTGCCCGTGTAGGATATAAGGTTGTTTCAGGGGTCAAAAAAAGAATAACTGATTTCCCTGTGCTCAGGCTGTTTATAGGTAAGATCAACAATAAACAATGTTTTTCCTCTTGTTCCTTTTAAAGTATTTGCAGCACATCTGCACTTTAATATACAGTTATTCCTACTAGACATCTTCAAGTGATTGAATGCAACAGAAAGGTCAGTGTATGTTTAGAGATCACTGTGTGAGGGAGACGATTTTATACTTCCCCAATATTGCTGTGAATCCCAGCCTCCTGCTTCGTGCTTCAGGGCACATTTGGCTGGGTTGACAAGCCAGTGAAAGGTGTTAATCCTGTCTAATAGAACCATAATCCTTGGGGCTGTGTTTTCGTATCATACTATTGAGCTAACCCCCTTGTCACAGGATATTGTTAATCTAGTGAATAGTAACGTTCTGCATGGAAATTTTAGATGAAATGAAGGTGTACAGTCTAAATTGCCCTTTTCAATTTCATGGGGTAAAAACAAACAAACAAACAAATAAACCACAGTGTTTAGCCAGCAAAAATTCCTTGGGAGATTACAGTCAATTAAGAGGAGAGCTGTGTGGTTTTCCTTTTCCTTTTTTTTTTTTTTTTTACCTCCAGTCCAGTGAATAATAAATGCCATTTGTCCAAAAATATTCACAAATCTGGGTCAACCTCTACAAATAACCTTTGGCTTGAAATATTTTCCAGGTCAGATTGGCCCCAGAAATGTTAGTGAAAAAAAAAAAAAAAAAAAAAGATGAAAAAAAGAGATGTAAGGTATTATTTCTTTTTCTCTTAAGCTCCAGTGGTTGAAACATGAACCCAAAATGTGGATCCTCTCCTATTTTGTTGTGCTTGGGTCTCTGCCCTTGCTATGCTCAAATTGCAACAGTGGGGAGTTTTTACTTTCAGCTGTGCTTCAGGAGAGGCAAATTTTTTCCTCTCAAATACAGACAAAATATTCTCACTTGGCCTCCCATAGCTTTTCTTCATCTTATTGTTTTTCCCCTCTGGTAACTATTTTTAGTTTAAAAGTGACTGTGTGTAAGCGATAAAGAAGCTAATATGGATAGTAACCCTGTGATTTATGAGCAGGGACAGAATAAGATGGAGTCCTTCCTGGCTGGAAATACCCAGGGGAGGTACGTGTGTGCTCTGCATTGCCGGTATCATTTGGATGAACTCCTTCCTTAAGACCACAGTTGTGAAGCCTGAATGCCAGCTCATCACCCTGCACAGCATTGGGAGTATGACAGCATTACCAATGAGTCCCTCAGAGGACTAAATGCTGCCAGAAAGGAGAGTGTCAGGAGGCAGAGCAGCAAACGGCAGCTTGGTGTCTGTGGGCAGAGCTGGCACTCACGAAGCTGCCAGAAGCTGAAATTGTAATTTGGATGTCAGCTCAAAAAGGTCCCTTCCTTACAGGAAAGTCTGTAACCAGACAGTCTGAAAACACTTACTAAATCTTTCAAGATATAGTCTCTTTGTATGTTACTGTTTAGTTTTTACCCCTAGAAGGAATTTTGAGTGTTCAGAAATCAACAGAAATGATATTGCATATTATATGATAGTAAATCCTCTTTGAGAAATCTGATGCCCCATTAAAAGCTAAGTATGCAAGAGTGAAGAGTTCTAAAAAATGGATTTGCTCTAGATTTAGCTTTGAGTATTAGTGAAGATGTAAAAACAGACTGTTAAAACACTGCGTAGTTGGTAAACTCTGGCTGTTATTAGGGCCACACTTAAACGGACTTTTGACATATCAGCAACAAAAGTGTGTGGCCTGATTATTCTGCTACTCTCCCACAACATGTCTTTCAGCCAAAACACATTCCTGCTACTCAGCAGTCCTTGCCAATTCCTGTTGGTGAAGAAGCCTGGACATGCTTCCCAGCCACAACCATAAACTTTAACAATGGTTTTCACCACCATAACCAGCTCTATGGCTCCTCTTGTACTTACGCAAGTAGGGATTTTTTCTGAGCTCACAGACAGCTATCTAACCCAGAAGCTTCTCATAAATATCTGCATATAATTAATGTGGAATGGATGAACAGAACTCAAATCACACCCATTATCTAATTTGTATTTGAAGTAGCATTGTTCCTCTGATTCATTTTTCTGCTTCCAGCAGTACAGCCATAATTCTTTTCCCTGCAGTTACCTCCTAGTTTGTTTCTGCTGGATGTAGCAGCTCACGGTCAACTGACTTGGGAGGAATTCTTAACATAAATGTGTGACTTGGAGATAGTATTTAAGTCTTCATAACAGAGCAAATTACCAACAGTGAGTCAAGGTTTGTCGTCTTCTCTTTACAGCGCACAAGTAGTTTTGGAAGCTTTGACCGTTTCAGATATCACTCAGTATCAAAGACGGATGATTCAGCTGAGGTCTGTATCAAACAAAGTTTTGCTTTCTTCAGTTCTCTTTCCCATGACAACTGTACAAAATCTCTGGGTAACCACTGTGTGAATTTAACACTGAGAGAACTTCGCTGGTGTACCTTGGTCTGTCTGGATGATTGAGTTCTTGCCAAAATGAACAAGAGAATCACATTTTAACATTGCTGCTTCAATGTGAATATCAGAAGCAACTTTTCAAAAAGGCAAAAGTGCTTTTCAGATTGGTGTATTCCCAAAGTAACCTGGATACAGCCCACAGATGTGTCATTTTTGTTTTAAGCAACCTACATAAATCCCCACAATAGTTGTTCAGATGAAAGACAATAAACAAAAGGAAACAACATTTCCTAGCATAAAATGTATTTTCTTTCTAACATTCACAGTGGTGTGCTGCAAACACAGTTTTAGTATTCCCCAATAAAATGGCCGTGATTGACTTTTGTCATCTTAATTGCATTGGTGTCCTTAAAATTTTTCTGTAATTCTTGTTTTTCTGCACCAAATTTTATTTTCATGGTATGTTGCATACATTTTTACTTCAAATCAGGTGTCTGAGTTGGAGACTGTAAGTGACATTGGAGACGCAGCACAAACCAAAGCAGCATATAATGGAAGAAGCTTGGGTAAGAAGATGAGAGCCATATCCCTTACCATGAAGAAAAAGATGGGTAAAAAGTACATCAAGGCACTCTCTGAGGAGATGGTAAGTACAGCTTAAGAATCTTTAATAATACACACAAGGTGAAAATGTTATGTACATTTTACTTATTCACGCTTCAGGCATCTATCGGTCATGAGACTCCATGAAAACATGGTTACAAGTACTGAATTAAAAGCTTTTAGTATATAGCTTTCCTTCCCCATGCATGCTCACTTACAAACACATGCACAGATACCATTACAGCATCACATGGTAAGAATCAAGTTAGACAGAGGATTTTTATATCACTGAATTTTGCTTTGTCATCATGGAACATTTGTGTAAGCACCACAAAAAAATCTTTTAATATGGAAACAGGGAACTACTGGACGAACTTAGTCTGATAATCAACCTGTACAAAAAATTTCATTAGGAGAATTAATTTTCAAATACAATTTTTTTTTCCAAAGTCCATTTTATAGAGGTCAGCCAGCATCGTACAGTATGACAACAGATTTGACTTATCTGCTTTTACCTTATTTAATCCAAGTGAAGCTATCTTCATTAAACATAAAAACATTGTCTATTTCACACATATCTCGTGTCTTTCAGTTCTGAATTTTAAAGCACAGAAGGAAAATTGAAATGCCCCTAAAAAATCTAGCTGATCTGCACACTATCTAATACATGTGTCAACATCAAATAACAAGGGAAAACAAGCAAAATACTTCACAAATTAAAAAAAAATGTGTTGAACAGGATATTGTTAGGCAGTTTTAGAGGTCAAAGACCAGGGTTCATAATTCACTTGCTTAGTTGTTATTTATTTATTTATTTATTTATTTATTTATTTATTTATTTTTGCTAAAATTCTGCAGGTTGCAATCCATGAATTTTATAGTATAGAAAAGAAAAATTAGAATTGTGACATTTAACTTCCAGACATTTCCAACAACTATTCACATGACAGGAATTCAATGAATTGTATGGCTGGACACACATCTACTGTGATCTTCATTCCTGCAGTAGATGGTGACAATCAATACTGGTCCACTGATTAATTGATGGCTTGTGCTGATGATTGGTGTAACAAACCCTGTCCTTGCTGAAAACCATTAGTCTTTCATTTCAGTGCTATGCCTTGTATATACCTGCACCTGTCTCTTCCTCATACCTGCTTGGCTCCATCCAAATGGACTCCACCAGTAAACTGATGAATGATTAACATGTTCCAAGTATGATGTAACATTTTAAGTATTGCATGATCTTTCAGTTGCATGAAGATATTACATACGTTGACAATGTGGTGCAATCTGCTAAAGAAAGTCCTACTTTTGAAAGCTCATTATTATTTCACTTAGCTGTTACATCATCCCTAACTTAGCTGTGATTGAAATACGGACCTTCTTGTTTTAAATTCCTTAAGAGTATAAGCTGTGATTTCTGAAGCGTGATTTAATGTTACGAACTCCAGGGACCAATTTCATACATCATTAGATTTTGTAAGAGAAACATGCATCTGTTAATTCTGGAATGCCCTGGATTTTGAGGCAAGCATATAGGTTGAGCAAGGTAGGGAGCATGGTGCTAAAGCACTGATGCCGTATGTGCATGCAGACTGTCTCTGAAATGCCCTTGCTTAGGTGCCAGCACACCTCGAAGTGCCCACGATTTTCAGAAGTTCAACGCAATCCATAGATGTCTCAGCTCGCCCTTCATTATGAGCTTACAGAATTAATCTTCGTACTTCTTCTTCAGAGACAATTAGAAAAACCATCTTATCTGTCTACCTGTAAATTTCTCATTATAAGCCTTTGTGCTGCTGTCATATATTGCATCTTCTTAGATGCAGAATTACTTGAACAGAAATGAAATTGAATGGGGCAGAGAAGAGACAAGTGCTGCTACTGGGCATCCTTGCTTCTGGATAGATTGGTACTGGACAGATATCCAGACATTAACTTCTTAATAAAATGGTTCTTAATGAAATGTAATTATGATTAAATCCTCAAGTGCAGTGACGATTGAAAAGGAAAATAAAATTTTCTAAAGTACATCTCTTGGTGGTTAACAGCTGATTCTTTTTGTTAAAGAATGAAGAAGGAAAAGATGACAGTGATCCTGGTGGTGGAATACACACTGAGAAGGTCTCCCTGAAAGCCAGTGACTCTATGGAAAGTCTCTATAGTCTAAACAGTGGCCAGAGCTCATCTAGTAAGTACAAGATATCCAGACTTCTTAGTCACAGCTTCAATATGGTTATTTCTGAATTCTGAGGTATCAGAGCCAGTGATTAAAAATGTGATACTAGTGCACTCTTCAGTCTGGCAGACAAAAGTATAATCTGATCAAACGGGTGGCAGCTAAGGAAGAAATTCCTGAAATAAACTGAGTGTTTTTAGGAGTTGGAGATATTATTATTATTATTATTTTTAAACTACATGGATTATAGGGAATGATACAGGTATATATGCCAGGAATGTTTTTGAGGGCTAGCACTGCTGGAGTGCTGGCACCCACAGAGTTACAAATCTTGAGTGTAGCCACAGAAGCATTTTCTCTGACAGTAGTGGCTATGAGCTCATTCTTCACTCTGCAGATGTGAGACAGACAATGTGAGAAATAGTCTGAGGTGAAGAGTGATGAGAGCCTGAGCTGGTGGTTTCAGATCATGATGTTGACACAATCTGCTTCTCTGCAAATCCACTAAATCCTGTGCCCCAGCAGAGCTGTTGGAGCCTCTGATGAGAAGTGGAGCTCACCTCCACCTGTCTATCCATTGCTCAAATGTGGACAGTCATTGGGCAAGTCCATGGTGACATTGCTACGCCATCACTGCAGGCTTCACGTGGGCCACAGGAGCCCTGAGTTGCAGTCCCAGCCATTTGCACTTAGTCTTTTATCTGGCCCTGAGACAGAGCTGTACACTTAAGCAATCACTTCAGACAAAACCATTTTTATAATCATTTTATATGATGTGATTTGTGAAAATTGTATATGAGAGTTTACTTCCAACATACTGCTGCTCTTATCTAAAAACATATTTGGATGGGATATTGCAGAGCTTGCTCAAATTTGCTTGAATTACTCTGCTGATATTTTATTGCTCAACTTGGATAAAATGACGGGCAGAAATGTTGATAAGATTAAAATTTCCCTCTGCAATGCAGGTTCCTTTGGTGCTTTAGCTCGCTCTATAATGAAATAAAATAACTTCTACACTACTTGTTTTCATTCCTCTCAATAAACAGGAGAAGTTCAGCAGAATTAATTCTCTAAATTGCACATTTAGAGTACATGATATTTATCTGCAGAGTAATATTTTAAAAAATCTGTATATGTAAAATGTATAATCTATTAGTATCATCACCAGAAAAAGATTATTGGAGGGAAGATGTTAATGAATGATCTCCAACTAGTCTCTTACAGTATGTTTTTTTTTCATGTATTTTGCCTGGAATGTGTCAAAACCATGTGAAGTATGTTCTTTTTAATCCTGTGCCTTTAAAAACTTCCCTCTCTGCTGCCATACAGAACGGAATGTCTGCAGTTAGTGCAGGCGATCTCAATTTCCACTTGAATCTCTTTAAGGTGGGGTGACCAGCTGCTCTGATGGAACAAGCAACAGGGATAGCCTCCGGTTTGATGATGAAGTCCCTTACAGTGGGCCATTCTGTGGCCGAGCCAAAGTGCACACTGACTTCACACCAAGTCCTTATGACACGGACTCTCTGAAAATTAAGGTAAGACAACCATCAGGATTTCTCCTTTTCTGGTGAGAGTATCAGAGATGCACGTTTTATGTGTGAGAACACGTTTCCTAAAACATTTTTAACTGCTAAGCACATGTATCATTCTAAAAGCAGAACAGATCTGCTTCTGCTGAGCTTCTATAATGACTTAGTTCTGACAGCAAAGTTTTTAAGGCATAGATTCAGTAGGTACCTCACCATGACTTTCCTCAGGTAAAATTCATGTTGCTCCCTATATACTAGGAGATCTGGAGGAAGAAAAACATGAATCTCATGGCATGTGAAGTTTCTTCCCCAGCTAGGATGTCTCAAAATCATGGTGGTACTCATTGACTTTAATGCAAACAGCCCACCTTTCTACTAGGCCTTCATTTAAGCATACTTTTGAACTATGGATTTTCTCTGGCTCTGATATCATGGCAGAGGTGTCCAGAATGAGGGAGTGGGAAAAAAGAGATCCAGATACGTGAACAGTACCAAGAAGATCCAGCTTTTTTCTTCTTCATCCATGCACAGATACAATCAGTAACATTACTGTTCAAACTATGCACAGCTATGTAATCTGAACATCTTTCTTTTCTCTCTGTAAACACCTTCATACCAAGACTGCATCCACACTTTAGCATCTTTTTCTCCATAGCCTCTTGTCCAGATCTTCATTCATACCTCACTGCAGTCTTCTTTTCCTCTCAGGCCTATATTACAACAATTGCTCAGCAAATACTTGCAGTTTTCACCACATGCCCTCCACTTTCACACATGCCCATGGCCTTTCTTTCAGAACAGTTTAATAGTTCATGAAACAGTAAATTTCTGCTGTCTTATCTAGTTTACTTTTAAAATCAATGGGGTAGTGTATTTTATAATTATAAGCTAATACTTAGGGTTGAAATGCCCTAAGAATATCACAATAAATTCCAGTACCCTGAATCTGAATTCAGATGGCATCTACAGCTTGCCTTAAAGTCATCACCTAATCCTGATCTGTTTCCACATCTAAAGTTCCTGAGCACTATATAAATAAGTAGAGCAATGTATGTGCTTATAGATCTTTAAACAAATGTTTGTTTAGTCTCCATTTCAAACATGCTCATAGCTTTAAGCTTCATATTTTTATGAAATCAGATCATTTGAACACAGTGAATTTCACACTTGGGTTTGTACTAGACTAGGGTGACAGCTTTATTTACTCACCATTTCTTGCCCAGAACAGAAACATTTAAAAAATCTCAGAGATAATAAAAGATACTGTTAACAAACTGAGTTTGATTTTTCAGTTTTACAACAGTCTGCCAAATTAAATGTGTATGTAAAGATTTGTTGTAGAACTCTATAAAGAAGATATCCAGTGGTTTTCTAAGTTCTGTAGTGCCTGACCAGAAGAGCAGACTCAAAGTCTAGCATCATGAGAGCAAGCTCTGTAGAGGATATGACTTACAAGAGAGTCTTTTTACTACCAAACTACTCAGAATTACTGTTGTTTTGAGTTGAGAATCCAATTCCCACATCTTGGTGTGAACACCTTTGGGAACAAGCCTTCCTGAGGTTCTTATATTGTTACTCATCTTTTTCCCTTGCCTTTTTGAGTGCATGAACAAACTTGGAGAACTGTTAGTTCTGTCTGCTGGGGCATTTTCCTTATTTTCCCACTCATTTTCAGTCCTTTGGGAAGCATTGTCATGAAGATATTAAGATATTTAGAGAGTTAAATGTTCTTTATTGCCTTTGAGAAACGTAGCTGGTGTTTCTTACAGTAAAATGGGTAGGAGTCCATCTTTCATCTAGTTCAGCTATTAGTTTTAGAAGATCCCTGGGACAATGGATATTAAGATAATTGCATAAGTGGATTAGGGTAAAAGAACTAGGTGAGAAGCTGTGTAAACCATTTGGAAAGTAACCTCATTGTGCTCCCCTGCTTTTTGCCAAAGCTATGTCCATTACTGATGGCAAAAGTTGCTTTCTGGATGCAATGCTACGCCTTTTCAGGGACAAAGTGGAGCACAAAAGGTTGAAAAGGTGTTGCTTATGCTCTCTTCTTCTTCACAGAGCTCTGGAGATAAGGACTAGCTCTATTTCCTGTAACTCTTTGCTGGAATTTTATAAAAGCAAAAAAAAAAAAAAAAAAAAAAAACTACATTCAGATAATTTTAAAAAGCTACTTCACATTGCCTAGTTAAGATTCTGTGCTGCCTGTGTGGATTTTGGTCTACAGAGGAAATGTCACATAAACCAGGTGTTAAGCAGTGGTGTGTTTATTTCTGTTGTTCTAGAAAGGAGACATTATAGATATCATCTGTAAAACACCCATGGGGATATGGACAGGCATGCTGAACAACAAAGTAGGAAACTTCAAGTTCATTTATGTGGATATTATTTTGGAAGAGGAAGCTGCACCCAGGAAGATAAAACCGCACAGAGGAAGCAAAAGGAACAAACCTAAAACACTGCAAGAACTCTTGGAACGTGTCCATCTGCAGGTCAGCAAACATTGCCCTGTTGTATCTGAAATCTTTAATTTCTGTGCACTTGGGTTGGATGTAATTTACAGGCAGAAGTAGAATAGGAATGGCGGACTTCAGCAGTTTTTCAGTCAGCTATGCAAAGAAGCTTTGTCTCTGATACGAGTGGCATATATAACTACATTTTATCACAAGATTTTGTGAAGCTAAAATGCTCCATGCAGAGAGACATAATGATGACTTGCTAAATCATTGTTGACTTGCCTGTGACTGTATGCCTTAGGGCAGGAGGCGTGTGACTATGTGGAAATCTTGGGCAAAACTGCAGTTCAACTCAGCTGCTAATGTTTAGAATTTAAGTTTCCAATTTTGCATGAACTGTGGGTGCAGTAGTTTTTTCGCACTATGCTCTTGTTGTGCCTTTCTCCCTCAGTGCCTCCCTAGGTCCAGACCCTATCTTGATCCAGTCTGCTGCCAGGCTCTGGTAGATAATTCAGCTGCAGGTGAAGGATGGTCAAGAGGATCTCAAGACATCTCTGCCAATGTCCTCTCACTCTCAATCTCTAATTTTGTTCAAAAGACATCTTCAACTGGCTGAAAAGTAGAGCCCATTTCAACCCGATGAAAGAGGAAAAGAAAAATTGTGCCTATTCATCTACTAAACATAGTGCTTGTTTAAGTGATGGATTTGCTCATTTCTTTTTGTAGGAATACACCTCAACCCTCTTGCTAAATGGCTATGAAACTGTAGAGGATTTAAAAGATCTACACGAGAGTCACCTGATTGAATTGAATATTTCAAACCCAGAGGACAGGGCAAGATTGTTATCAGCAATTGAAAATCTACAGGACAATGACAGTAAGTGTTTAAGCTTTAAGAGTCATGTGCACATTTTATCTCAAGAAAGACAAAGAAATAGTGATTCTCACATTGATCTATTTAATGATTTTTCTTTTAAATGTGAAAAATCGAGTTGAATAGTTTCCTTATTTGTCTTGATGGATAACTACATCTCTTCTAGATATATACATGATTACTATCCTAGTAACACATGAATGATTTAAGATTTCCCATTGATAGGTCCTAATCTAGAGGTTCACAGCAACTGCCACTTGAAAGCAATTCTTTTTCCAATGGGGAAACCAAACCCAAGAGAGGTTAAATGATTTCCCCAGTCAAAAGATGTCTGCAGCAGCAGAAAATCAAACTTTCCAAACTCTGGGTTTAGTACTTAACAAGAATAAGTACAATAAAGAATTTATGACAAGTTACTAGAAACTTCAGCTTAACTAGATACTCAGCCAAAAATGGAGATGTTTTCTTAATCTTTGTGCATACTCACCTCTATCATGAGCAGTTATTTTATCCGATGTGCTTCTCAATTGAGAAGCATCTGGAAGAGAAAAAAAGGATACCTGGAAAAACAGGTATCCTTGCCTTCCTGGGATGTTTTAATATTAGTTCTTGTTTACTGTTTGGTTTTCCGTCCTCATTATTGGTGGCTTTCCATTTCTCACTCCAGAACATGTACAATACATAAGCACATACCTGAAGACAGAGATATATTCAAATTTTTCTGTACATTAATCTTTCTGGATTTCTAAGAATATTTTTGGCTGCCTCATCCATTCACCTTCCCCCATAGATTTTCTTGCTGACCTTGCTTTTCATTCTACATTGGGGTCTTTCTGTTCCCCATTTCTATATCATATTTCAACATCCACAGAAATGTCACATTTGAGAAGCATTTAAATGGTGTTCTTTGCCCAGCAGTATCAGTACTACTTTCTTGTCTATAGCTTTGTGAGATGAGTGGCTAGAAGAGAACTCTTGAAGGGTTGTCTTCATAGAGGCTGTGATAGAGTGAATGTGGGAAAGAAAAGGTTAAATTTCCCAAGTATTGTGTTGCAGGAGTTGAGCTGGAAATCATGCGAAAATACATTAATTTCCTTAGTTTGCCCTTGAATAGCGCGTACTTCATGGTAATTATAGCCTTACCACATTTTCTACACCTTTTATTGCAGGTGTTTCTATATCAGTGTTTAACAAAAAGAATTACAGAAAAATGTTTGTTTGTAAGTTTACAGAGTTCTGTATCAGTGTGAAAAACAAAACCAAAACATACGATTTTTAACAGACAACCAAAGTGCCAAACTATTCTGGGACTGTGAGGATGTGGTTTACTATTTATACTCCCTGTAGAGCAAAAAGTATAGCAAGCAGGCATGTTGCATTTTTAAAAGACGACACCAAAGTTTTCCTCTTTTGAAAATGTCTTAACCATTTAATATTCTACATACACTCATGCAAGGAGCAAATTTTAGAAGGTCCTTATGCATCCTGTACATTGAACATTAGCAAATTTACCTTAGTTATCAAAATAGAGTTCTTACAAATTGGGAGCATGGGATTAAGTCACTTTTCTCCAGAAAGCAAACAAACAACAACATTTAAAAGCTTGCTCTAAAAAAAGAAGATATTAAAGACTAAAGTTGATGGAAGCCATCTGTCAGGTAGTTATAATGAAAGATGGAGAGTCAAGATGATCTTGGGCAAAAGCTCAGCATGTGTCTGACCTTGTCCAAATCATTTGACCTCTTTGTGCTTCTGTCAGTCCAATTGGAAAATTGAGTTGAAAGAGCTGAGTGTTACTGTGAAAGTGAATTCTGCATCTGAACTGAACTTTCCTAGGTCAATATTTTTTTTCCTAAATGGGCATGACTGAGTCCAGCATAAATGATTTCTTAATTAAAATTGATTTTCTGCACTGCTTAGAAGTGAGCAGCATAATTACCCACAGCTACAAGGTAATCTGTTTACTGGCCTAGAGTGTTCTGGATAGAAGTTCTGCACTTTTCCAGGTAAAAGTTTAATGAGCTTTTTTTAGGAAAATAATAATAATTCTAAGGTCATAGATCATATTTACTATTCTAATCCCATCTTTCTCAGAGAGCTTGGAACAGTTCCATGTCTTTGCATTATATCTATGCTTCCATGAAGCATGTGTTTGATTCATGGGTGGAGTCTCATCCATGAAGGTACGCTCCAGATTTGAAATGCAAGGTTTATGAGTTTTTGTGACTCTAATACTATTCATAAAGGCTAAGTATGGAGGAAGGTAGCCTCATTTTACCTGATTCTACTATAAATGTAATAATGTAATAAATGTATAATGTACCTGAAAGAGAGAAATGTGAAGTGGGACTGTATATACATGCGATACTTCAGAGAATCAAAGGAATAACCTTTTGGTGGGTAACTATAAACAAACAAGGTGATGGATGTCTGTGCTTTTGTAGGATGCTATTTTTAAAGTGAAGCAGTTGCTGAATGGTTAATGAATAAATATGATAAATATGATTTAATATTTCTTTAATGCAATACCTGATGTAGTGAAAATGGACAGTTGTTTTCACAGGGCTATTCATTTTTTTTCCTTTTTAGTCTTTTTTTTTCTTGACATTTATTTTATGTTACACTAAGTAGTTTCTTTATGCTGTATACTTCAGACTATAGAATTCATATTGCAGAATAAAGTTACTGCGTTTTCCAGCAAAAGTACTTGCACAAATAGTTTCCAGATTATATGCTTCTTAAGACTATCCTAAACACAGGATTCTGGGCAGTAAGAATTTTTCATCTTCCATTTGGTTTAGATCCAAATGAATTTGAGAGTAATAATTTTGCTCATCTCACAACAGGAATTAAAAACTAACTTTTATTTAGAAAATGCTACTACTCTGTGTTTTTAAAACAGTTTTTTCTTCCTGATACTGCACTGCCTGCTTTCTACCTTTTCTATGAGCCAAGAACCAATTCACCATCTTCAAGTATGTCATATAGCAAGACTACTGTAAAACTGCAAGGTCTTTTGAGCTCCTCTTGACCTTCCCCCACCCCCACAGATCTCTTTTTAGATCTGCCAGAAGTTGATCAGACGTATATATTTGGTACAAAGCGGTTGGCTTCCATGAATTCATGTCTGGAGAAGAAAAAAAAAAAAGTTCTTTTTCATAAAGTATTTCTTAATAGCTTTCCATTCTTCTCCCAGATGGCTTCTAGACAGGAGATGGATGTCTGTGCTTTTGTAGGATGCTATTTTTGAAGTGAAGCAGTTGCTGAATGGTTAATGAATAAAGTAATAAAAGAAGTTTGCAACCTTTTTTTTTTTGACTGCTTCCCAGGACACACATTTTTGTGTGTGTAAAATAGACTTGATTCCTTTGGATATATACAGTTCATATATAGGAAAAAAAAAAAAAGATATGTACATGCAATCTTGGGGATAATTATTTTACTCTTATCTCCCCAAATCCACCTCCTTATTAAACTTTTCAATTTTAAATCTCTGATCATACTCCAACTCCCACTGCCAGTGTCATATAAGATTTGTTTCTTATTTATTGTATTTGAACAGCAAGTTAGCAGTTAGCTGATAACACAACATTCAGTTGCATTCCTTACATGAAGACCTTAGATTTTCCCAGGAAAAGCAGCCTTGTATGAATATTACTGTTTTTCACCTTTTTCTAGACATGCCTATTTGATTCCTGAATTTAGAGAAAAAGAAGCTTCTCATCTCTGTTTTCACCATAGGCTCTCCTCTCATACCAGTTCAGTATCCCTCCCACTTGTACTCTGAGTGCTGCAGCATCTTTGCCAGTGGGAACAGAAGGGCCAACTGATGCCCCCTCTGCTACTGAAAGCAGAAGAATCATCATAAATCACAAAATCATAGAGTAGCCTGTTGGAAGGGACCCTCAAAAGTCATAAAATCCAACTCCTGGATATGACATTGACTTCAGCGAGGTGGTTTTTTTCACCTTGTTTGTCTGTAATTACCCACCAAAAGTTTATTCCTTCGATTCTCTGAATTATTGCATGTGTATACAGTCCCACTTCACGTTTCTCTCCTTCAGGTACATTTACTTCTTTAAAATGATCCTTTCTGAGTTTGGTGCTTTATTAGTTTTTCTTTCATCCTAACATCAAGTGGTCTCCCTGTCACAGGCACTGCAGGTTGGTATGTGTTCTTCATACCTCACTAGGAGGTCTGACTTCAGCCTTTATGAAATGTGTCATTCTAGTTATTCTGTTGTGTTGCTCAATAGGTCACTACTGCACCATCCAGGAAGGCAACTCAACCTAAAGCATCATGCTTATAGCCCCTTTCACCTTCTGGGCTAAGCTCATAAATGCAAACTCTCAGAGGGCATGGTCATGAAATACAGCTTAATGCAGGCTGACCTTCTTATTTCTCCAAGACAAAATCTAAGCCTCCCACCACTCATCTGGTTTAAACTGACATAATAATGGCACTGGAGTTAGTGTGACCTCAGTATATTCTTGAGCAGTACTGACTTAGTCCTAAGCTTAAAGTGCTTTCAGAACCAGGATTCTAACCTGAATTTAAGAAGTGGGGAAAGCTGGTGAAGGAGAAGGGAGATCTTTGTCGTACACTACTGTGCCACTGGATAAAAAATGTTAATTTCCAAAATCTTAATAGCAAGGAAGATACACATGTGTCATGCATTCATTATCAAGTCTAGAGCCCTAACATTTTTTTCACAAGTCTGCATATAATCTTGCAGTCAGAAGCAGTATTAGAAAATACGTGTCAAAATGATGTATATTTTGGACACTTTTGTAAAATATCATTGATAACAGTGACTGAAAGCTACTTATCTTCTATGAAACTGCTTTCTGTAGAAAAATAACAGGGCTTCTATTTGTTGATAAGGTAGTGGTTTCTGATGATTCTGCAGCTTTTAACAGCAGTTTAATTTTATCAATTCCTGTTTCCTGTGCATTATATCTTTTTTCTGATATCCAAATGATTAAGGCAGTAAACTTACCTTTACTAATATAGGACTTGAACATGTATTTGCTAGGGAAAGGAGTTAAACAGAACTGAATGTAGAAGCCAAAAGCAGCTGTTTTTCTCAGAACACCTAAAGCTGTATGCTACACATATTTATAATACTCAATATCCTTTTAAGCTGTTTAGTAGTTGCTATGCTATATTTAAGTCCAGTCATTAAAATAATCAAAAGCAAAGAAAAAAGCTGAAGAGTGATTTCAGTCCTGAAATGTGTTCTTTTTCTTCAACTTTTTCTGTTTGTAATGAAAAGCAAAAATATAACATTTTCACTTTCTCAAACACCTGAATATTTTTGGTTTTCAGTTTTTGATGTTAAAAAAAAAATCTGATAGTATTTTGGGAGGAGACAGAAGTTTTACATGTCTGCATGTTTCTTAAATATATATTCTCCTGAAAATTATTGAAACTCAGATTTTAAAAAATCTAAGTTCTATATGAAGCCTCTGTCTTTGTCCCTGCAACACAGAAGGAAAAGCATTGCTAAAAAATAAGATAGATCTGTTTTTCATGTAGGAAACTACTTAGATGACTGCAGCTACTTGCAGGCTACTAATATACTGACAGCAGACGAGTTACTTGCCCTTCTTTTCCACTGCAAAACAAACAAAGTGAATGGAGATTCCACTTTGACCTTGAAAATGTAAACAGGATTAACTCTTTTTAGGTCACTGCTTTCCAGGGCAGCAGATGATGCCCCAGAAGCTGATAAAAGTCCTACCAAGCAGCATTAGGGCTGATCGGGGATTACAGCAGGGGGAAGGGGAGCCCTGCCTGCAGCCACCACCTGAGCTCTGTCAGCCCATGGTGACCAAGGCCTGGGACCTATTGGCACTGGTGGAACGGGAGCAAGGGGCTAATGACACAGTTTAGAAGGGCTTTACTGGGGCATCTGCTGTTGTTTGTGCTAAACTATTCATGTTGCTACTAATAGCAGCAGTAATGCCTTCAGTGGTGTTATTCCTTTTGTAATTCTTTTCTGACTTAAATCAGAAATCTATCTGATCACATATTTTGCCTACAAAGATAGGTAGCATTTGATGTGGTGGACTACGTTCCCTAAGGTGAGAAGGAGATCAAATAGTTACAGACATCTATTGAATTTGCTGAAATGTGTACTTGTACATGCAAGTGCAATTAACCATTAATTTATGTGGGGAGAAAGTGGGACTTTTATTCCTTGGAAAATATTTAAAGTAATCAGAAATCGTTTTTTTAAATACGTAAGGCTATGCCTATAACTTCAGACTTAATGCAAAAATGACTACATTGAGACTTTGGATTCTTTTCTTCAAAATTTGGATTAGTTTATAACTTAATTAGGTAATTAAAATGTAGAAAATGTTAAATAGAATTAATAAGTCCTAACAAATCTACAAGACTAGGTCCATGAGGACCTGCAAGTGTTCTCAAATACATCAAAATGCCTTGTGAAATGATTTCTCTGGGATCTTGTTTACACAACAAAGAAAGGCCCTGACTATTCCAGTTCAATATTTTCAGAGCAGGTTTTTTTTGTTTTTTTGTTTTTTTTTAATTTCTAATTTGTTCTTAATTACATAATATTTAAAACAACAAATCACAGTGAAAACCTTTCTCATTTTATGATTTCTAACAGTTCAAACAAATGTCTAGACACTTTCCTTTCAGAAATGTAATAATTTTAAGCTGTTACCCTGGAGCTGAACTAGATTTAGATTTTCAGGAGGGATAAAATCCTTCCTGAGCTAGGACTTCCATACTGCCTGTACTTCAATTGAGACAACTTAAATTTGACCAAAGATTCAAAATAACTACATAACTATGAAGGAACAAGTTGGCTGAAATAAAAGACCTTTTTTTTTTTTCAAATAAAAAAGGTACCATTTTCCTGAGGCTTGAAATCTGAGGTGAAGCAATCTATTCCTGTACTACCTGCTTCTCATACTCTGATTGGAAAGTAAGACGCAGCTTGAAGTAAAAACACAGTTACAGGAGAGCAATAGGGAATGAAAGAGAATGGAAGAGAGAAATGTAACATTTTGTAGCTTGTTTTCTGAAGAAATTTACTGTGAGTGAACATCACGTGTTTTACAGAAAATATGAGCGTGAATTTTAACCACGAGATATATTTGATACATGATATACAGGGATATCCTGTCCACAAAATGCCGGCTCGCTGAGCTCTTCCTGAGGTGCAGATTGTTGTGTCTGAGCAGATTAGTCATGCAGCACTTAAACAAGGACAAATTATTTGCAAGTTTATCTGCTTCTGCTTAGTTTTCGGACAGTGTTCAAAAAACACGCGGCAAGAATTAAGAATCTTGGTTTCCTCTGAGGCCTTTGTGTTTTGGAAAATGGCTTTTGGGACACCAAAAAAAGAAATTTCTAGGAAGTTCCTGTCAGCCATCCATTCACACTGAGAAGTCAAGTGCTTTTGAAGATCTGATTGCCACACACCTTCAGACTGTGCGTGGTGACTGGTGCACCTGGGCACAGCCTAAAGGATGCAGGCAAAGCCTCAGGCACTCACATCTGAGCAGCACAGCACACGATCAAAGCCAACCTCAACAGCAACTTAGGTGCTTGTGTCATCACATTTTTAGTTCTTTGATGCTGTTTTCTGTTTCCAATAGACAGAAGATATTGATCTAGCGTGTGTATATTACTAACTCTGTTTCTACGGTTCTTCAAGATCAGCCACATTGCTGTCTCAAACTGTTTTACAGGATACTTATTCTGACATTTCTTTCTTATTTTGTTCTTTCCAGATGAACAAGAGCAGATAAGCGAGGGTGGTCAGGAGACACAGAGCTTAAGCCCTCAGCACAGTTTTGACAAATCACAGTTAAATGACTGCCCAAGAGATTCTGGCTGTTACATCTCATCAGAAAATTCAGATAATGGTAAAGAAGAAGTAGACCCAGAAACCCTGTCTGACATGGTGCAGTCAATAACAATCACTGAGTCAAACTGATTCTGTTAAGCTGTTTCTGCAGATGCTCAGAAAAGACAATCAGATAAGTGAAGTTGATTTGCTGGTACAGAAGCAGAACACAAAATATTTCTCAACACTGCAAATCTACTTCTGTCTGATGTATAATGCTCTAGACTGCTTAATATGTGGACATTTGAGAACTAAATCTTAGCTGATAATAACAGTATCTCATGCTTTTCAACGAATCCACCGACATTACACGGAAAATGTTCATGCATATATATTTATATATATTTGTACAGCAAATGCATTTTGTATAATGATAGCGAATTGTTTTGGATAGTGATACGTTGTCTAAATATTAAGCTGTGGAACTCTCCAAAATGTAAATACTGTATATATTTATTTTTAAAAGATTGATTAATCGCATTGTCTCTTTTTTCAGATGGGTTTTGCTGAGATTTGTACAGAAAATATTTGCATTGATGTATCATCATAATAAAAAACTGGATACGTTCACATCCTACATTGAAAAGTACTAACCTAATTCCTGTTAATATTAAAGCTTTTTAATGCTCTTCTTCTCCAAAATGGTCTCTAAAGAGGCTGTCTTACATTTTATCCTGGATGTACAAAAGAACTGTCGTGTCAGTCTGAATCAAGCTCTTTGTGTTTGTCATCTTCTAGAGAGTGTAGTCATCTGAATTCCTCACGCATTGCCAATTTGTATATTGTAATTTTCACAACTGTTCTCATTTCTTTCTAAGCATTCTGAAGACAGTTCAAGCTTGGAACAACAAAAAACAAACAAACACAGCAGTGCTTTTATTATTGTTTTTTGTGCAACTCTGGCCTTTTGTGCGTGATGTCAAACTTGTTCATTGGGTATTTTTGTTTGTGTACAGAACTCAGAAGCTAACGTGGTTATCATGCACTATTGTCTTTTATATGGGATTTAATTGTCATCTCCCAAGATATTTTGCACTGGAACACACATTACATCTGCCTGTCTTCTTCCTTCAAAAATAAACAAAGTCATACATTTGAGCCCTTTAAAAACGATTTGATTTTTAATGTGGTCATTACATTTTAAAGATGGCTCTGTTCTTACACTAGCACAGTAAATGGCAAATCCACTGAGCATTTTTATCATGCGTAATCATCTTGGTATCAAATCAATACAGAAACTTCCTGCTCACCAATTAGTCACACCATTTTCATAATTTAAAGCATTTTGCATTCATGCTAAAAAGTTTCCACAGACTCCTGACAATTTAAATCACTTTCACAAGAGATGAAACACGGAAAGTTCCACCCCGGAACAATACTTCTAAAGAAACTGTAAACAAGTGGAAAATTCTTATCCTTTTTTCCCCATGGGCAATGCTTTCTGCAGTTTCATGACTGCTCAGAAGGGTACTGCTGTCAGACTCCTAATAGACAGATCTGCTTTGAGGGTTACAGTATAAAAACATTAATTTTAGAAAATTGCATAAATTTCAAAGACTTGGTGCAAATAAACTTGGCTTAGTAGAATAAACAAGCTTGGGAGCTGCTTGATTTTTTTCTATTTTTAATTCTCCTTTTATGCTTTGGCTGTCAACAATTGTCATTATTTAGCAGCAATGACCCCATATTTCCAGGTGTACCTGGAAATGATCAGGCCTTTCAAGGGATGAAATTTGTGACAGATTGTATCAGGCAGCTGTATTTTCTCTTAAGCGTTTCTAACCTTTATTGTGTCATCACACAGTGCTGACTTAATATGACTTGAATAACTTTTCCTGAAATAATGTTGTTGGATTAGCTTCTGCCATCTCTTCATCTTAGAGAAGGACTACTGAAAATAACTTTGCTTGAGTTTATTTAACATGGGCATGTTTTGGCTTTTGCAGCAGAAATGTTTAGTCTTTGTATTCCTTCTCTAGACATCTGTGAAAATACTGAACATGTAAAAAATACCTTGAGGTGTGTGTAAATATGATTCTGACACAGCTATAAGCTAGCTGGATCAAGGACTAACAACCACAAAGACCAGAGATGTGCAATGACATGCTCTGAGGAATGTTTATTTCCATGAGTTTGCAAATGAGAATAGGTCTCCTTGGCTAGTTACAAAGAGACAGGCAAGGCACCTGCTGAGCAAAACACCCAACAGCTGTTATTTTTTTACAGAGTCAAACCCTGCACAAACTTAGAGTGACGGCAAGAGGTTAACTAACCTCTGAGGTTAACTAGTCATTAACCATGAGCATAAGCTTTTGTTTAAGCGCTTCAGCTTCTAATTAGCAAGACTTTGTCCAAAGGGCTTCTTGTTGAGATAAATGTGTCAACTGAAGGCTTATTCAACGCATCTGTAACCTCCTGTGACGGCAGAGCAGATTAGATCTCAAACTGAGAAACTTCCGCTCTCTCAAGCTATTCCGAGAAAAAGAGGAAATTTTGAACCACAAAGGAAAAAAATGTGTTTTTTACACGAAGCATACCAACCTCCTTTCATCTCTCAGTGGTTGTCTTAATCACACTGATCTTGGATTAAGCTGCCTGAGCATAAACAGTTCTCTGGCTGGCTTTCATGCTGACTAATCTGTATAATTTTTATGTAGATATACATATGTATTTCTTTTTAAACCCGTTCCAATTCTAGGATCTGTAGAACTGAGCTGCTTTTGAGGAATCTTTGCAATGTCCCAGAAAAGAAGCAAGTGGATGGCGTTTTGTTCCTTTCTACCATTTGCTCAGTGGTGTCAAGCCCCTGTTCATTTTTATAAACCTTCCTCTGTGACAAGATCCGTAAGTCTTTCTTTCAGAGGTAGCTGAGAGTCTGCTCTTCCTTGTAGTTATAAAGCATACAGAAAGATGCAAAACCAGCCTGGAACTGTAGAGACAAAGCCAAGATAGCCAGTCTCTCTGCAGCCAGGGGTGGGCTTCAGCTGGTGGGGATTTCCCCCCCGCAGAGACTGCAGTGCAGGTGCAGTGACTTCCCCTGGGGCTGTGGTGCAGGGCTCACTGCTGGCACATGTGCAGCCACTTGTCCTCAGCAGAAAGCCAGTGGCTACAGAAAGCAAAAAAGTTGAGGTGCTAATGACCCCACATCCTCAAGGGGTGAACCACCTCTGGTCAAAGTTTACATTGCTGTTTGCACTGCTGCCTCATGTTCAGCCCTGTTTGCCATCATACAGTTGGCAGTATATTAAAGGAGGGCTGTTCTGTCACCAAAAGGAATGGCAGTGTGCTGGACCATAGTCCCACAATGAAGGCAGGCTGGCCTGTAGGTCCTGAATCAGCATCCCCTTCTTTAGGTTTTGCCACTAAAATTCTGAAGGCTGGTAGACATAAAAGGATCAGCACAGAGGTTAGAAATGAGGAGCATTTGCATTTCATTTTGCAGAGTTATGAATGAATACTTGGATGCAGATATTCCAAAGCAAAATCTACAAAAGACTTTTTTCCTTTATTATTTTTCAACTACTGCTAGAAACACACAAAAGCAAATAGCCTAAAAACAAACAGGTTGGAGAGGAAAGCTTGAAGCATGTATAAGTGTATTCAGACAGTTGTTAAGTAAGGAAGCACAAGGACTGTGAAATGAACAAGATCATTCTTAAGCTTGAAATTCCAGAAATTGTTGTCGAAATACAATAAAATGCATTTGTACAAATCATATGCAACTGAAATTCAGAACCTTCCTTTTCTTGCTACATAAAAATACAGTGTAAGTGCTTTTATTTCACTGTTAATCCAGATGTGGGGAGAGCTGATTTGAAGGGACTTCCTTTGACACAATTGCTTATGAAAACAAACATATACAAACATTACTGAGGACTTTATTGTAGTTGAACACTTGGAATTCAAATGTAAATGTAACTCTTGTCTCTTGCATTCGTGTGATTTACCTCTGTTTCAAGCTTTGTGCCCATCACTCCCCTTTCCTATCTGCAGCAGAGCACAAAGTGTATTGGTGGATACCATTGCAGTATTGCTAGTACATCAGATCAGAAAGTAGAGATTTCCATATTCTTTGACACCCTTCAGCAAGTCATTTTTTTCTAATACTTCATTGTCCATATGCAAATCCGAAATGTTTTCAGTGCCAGGAAGCCTATACGTTCTTTCGTTTATCACTGAATTTTCATCAGAAGAAAACTTGCATCAGCCAAGTAGAACTTGGATTCTATGTGCTTATTTGAACTCCACTGCAAGAAACCCAGTCAGTTTTGCATTTCCCTTATTTCCCAGCTATTCAGCCCATAATTCACCAGTCTGGTGGAGGAACCGTAGGAAACTATGTCAAGGGTCTTGCTAGTCAAAGTACCCTGCTCTAGTCCATAATGGCAGAAACACAAGTGGAATCACTGTCTCCAATTCAATGATGAAGCCGGGAGAAGATAATTTGTGGATGAACACATTTGCACCCAATGGTTGCTAAACATTAGGATGAGAAATTGGTGCTAGAAGACAAGACTTGCTTTGCTGCAAAAGAATATTTTTGAAAAATCCTTACTTTCTGGGTACCCTGACACCTCCCACTGAGTGATCAGTTTCTCCTGTGATGTGGGAAGTCCACAGTTTACCGTCTATAAAATAAAAAAGACCTTCATAACAAAGTCGCAGCAGCAATCAAAATAATTTCTGGTATCAGGGTACCTGCATGATCAGCGGTGATGCCATTACAAAAGGTGGTGCTGAGAGCCCAAGACAACACTGAAAAAAAATAATACCTTTGACCAGGCAGCCTAGTTTCTCAGAAAACTAGGTTCTGAATATGAGAACAACCTGCCCCTGTCCCTAGGAGTTAGCTGTTCCCACAGGTCAGGGTCAGTCTAGCTCTTTCTGTCCACAGGTGCACACACAAAAACACACAGAAAACTCTGTGATGCAAATATAATGGAAGACACAAGCCTTTTCAAAGCCTTGTTAGCAGCTTTGAGTCTATCCTAACAGTCTTAATGCCAGTTTCCCAAATGATTCATATATCATCATGAATGGTTTCACCTTCTTTAATATCAGAGGGAAGTGGTTCTTTCATATCTAGTAACAGAATGGCAATGCCTCTGCCTCCTATTCACAGCTCAAAACTGAGGTTATGGGTTACATTACACAATGAAGAGGTTATCTGCATCAAAGTGTTATGCCTGCTGGCTGTGTGTGCTGCACAATTGCTTTATGCAATGACGGTCTTTGATCAATTCCAGGAATAAGTTACTTAGGATGAGTATAAGCATATTTTGTCCAATATTTCCTGCTGCATGGAGTTTCCATCCCTGATCTTTTGTGTCTGATGGGTAACCTGATTCCCCTACAACTCAGGTGAATGTGGAAGAGGCTGTAAAGTGAATGTGCATGGCATTCAGCTCGTATTCCTCCAGTATTCATTCCATGTGATGAACCTATCAGTCTGTAGCTCCTTGTTTCACCATGATATCCTGAGGGCTGGTCTAAGGTCTAGCACTCACTGCATACTCACTGCAGATTTACAACCAGCCACTGATTCTGTCAAGCTCCTTATTTTACCCAATCCTAAAACTACTCACTGAAACACAAACAGAAGTGGCGCAACAGTTATTTCTCTTTAAATACTTTTGTGGGGAAAATGTACAGAAAATACTTCTTTTACTTCCTTGACAATGTCTACCTATGTGGCTATTTAAAGACAGTGAAGTAGAACCGGAAGGATCTAGATTATTAGCGTAACTGATAGCTCTGTGCCAGTGAATTAATGCCATGAACATGCCTACAGGACATATACCTTGCTTCTTAGTTCAGCTTTATTTTTAGATAAAATGTATTAGCAATCTTGTCTCACTTTAACTTTTTTAAGCAAAATGTGCTTTGTAACCTAGAAAAGGCTTCTACTTGGGGCTTTGAAGGGGTGCTTCTTATTTTTTTCTCAGAGTGAAGAGAAAGCTATCACTAATGGAAGTGGCTGTATGAAGAGCAACTTTCTCAACCAATGTTTCCCTTCATTAGAAAAAAAAAAAAGGGAAAAGTGACTGGTTTGTACTGAATTAGTGGACATACGTAGAACTTAGGTATCATAAAATATTGTATGCTAAGAAAAACATCAATGCTATGGCTATATTTGTGAGGCTGTACAGATGGTTAGTGAGGTCTATGAAAGGAAGGACAACAGCTAAGTGTCCAGCAGAACAGAACAGTATATGAGAGCAGCTGCATATACTCTAAACTTATGCTTTTACATAGTGGTGAATGCACGTTTACTATAACACTGATTTGTCCTGTGAGATGGACAAGCCACCTATAACTCTGGCATTAACTCTGTCCCTATAGCACCATAATCTCATGTTTAACTCTGGCGAAAGACCTGAATGTTGTGCAACTGCCAGAAATGTTAGACAGTATTTGTCAAAAATTAACAAATTTGTGTGAGATGTGAGTCAACAATTTAAGATCCTAGACAACAGAATTAACTACATACTGTACAGTACTTCACAATTTCTAAACTGAGTAGACGAGATCATTTGATTAAAACCTATTCAACTGAAAATCCTATTTGTCTGAAACAAATGTTTGTCCTAT